CTGAACCAAAGACATTGCAAAAATGGTGTGATGGCCTGGAAAAAAACCTAGTGATCTGTGTGATTTACCTTCCACTAGCCAAGCATCTTCCACTTGGTACAGACCTGCCTTGGCATATATAATACTGCCTTAACTGACTTCATGCCAGAGTTGGCTAATCAAGGGATGCAACAGAGACATAGGGTTCACCAGTGCTTCTACTATTTATGGTTGTGGCTATGAACCACAATCCATGCAATACCTTTTTTAATTAAAACTGCTTGCAGTGTTCTGCAAGCAGTTTGAAATTATGCAAGTGTAACCTGGGTACACGCAAGGGTGTGCCCTATTCTCAAATTGGATAGGATGGATAGGCAGGAGGGGGTGGTGTGAGAGGTATGCCAGAATTTTGAGTGAATCCCTCTTTCCTCTATAGAGTTAGCCCAAGCCCAAAGTTCTTAACTTTATACAATTTATTGAGTTATAATATACATAAACATAAAACTAAATATCATATACATATATTTACACAGTGAACTTTAACCAATAACCAAGTTCCCTCTTTCGTTAATGCAGAAAGATGGGCATCAAGTGGACCCCTACCCAGTTAGGGGACCTAGCATTCCAAGAAACCAACAGGGTGCTTTTCAAAAATTACTCTGTCCTATGATCACACTATTTACCCATCACAATAAAACAATTTCAGCAGCATCAACACAATGCAACATCACAATACAACATTTCAATTACAAAACATAAGGCACAAACATGAACAATCTTAATAACATCTGTTCCTTAATATAGTCCCTGATCCATGGCAAGAGATAGTCCTCCTTCCAGTGGGGTCCCGTGGGGGGGTGTCCAGGAAGCACCAGAGGCCCCTCCCTTTAAGGCCTTGACTAGGTGGGGGAGGCTGCTCACCCAGCCCCTTCTCTGGGTTTACCCGCCCCAAACGTCTTTCCCCTGTGGGACCCAAAGGCCCAATGACTCAGGCTCCCTCAGGTGGCAGTGGTCAGCTCGACAGGGTCTCCTCTGCTGGAGCGCCTCTCCAGGCCTCTCCTGCACCACTGGGCTCCTCCCCACCCTGTGCCCTGCTCTGGGCACTGAGGGCTCAACTCCTCTCAGCTGCTGCACCGCCGCTGCTGGCTTCTGGGTGCTGAGCCTCATGCTGCATCACTACTATTTCCCTGTGCCTTGGCTTTGGCACCAAGGGCTCTTTTAGCACAGGCCAGGCCCTTCAGGCTCTGGCTGGCTGTCCTTATGCCAGGTAACTAATCCAAGCAGCCTCCACTATTACCCGACTCCCAAGGCTCAGGCCTGTGTGCTGCCCTGCGCACCGTGGGATCTGGCTGCTCGCCGGGAGATGGGACCTGAACTGCCCCACTGCGGCCCCCAAGGCCTTTGCCCTGTGCGGTGCCCCAGGCACCATGTGGCCTGCTGGCCCTGCCGGGGTTGCAGGCTCGAACTGCTGCTTGTGGCTCCCAAAACCTGGGCTCTGTGCACCAAACCACGCACTGTGATGGGCCCGAGCAGTCTCACACCGCTCCCAGGGCCAGGTCTCCTCGCACCATCCCTGTGCACCAACAACAGCCTGAGCTGATCCAGTGGCAGCTTCAGGAGCCTTGGGCCTCTTGCCTGCTAGGGGAGAGCTCCCCAGCTTTTCTTGGCTCCGCTCTTCTTGAGTCCCTCGCTGCACCTGCCCGGTGTGCTGAGTACACTGGGCTTTTATTTACAGCGGAGGCCCCGCCACTGAAGTCTGCCAGACTTGCAAAATGCAGTCTTCAATCAGGTCCAGGGGCTCCTCACATCCCCGCCCTCCGAGCAGGGGTGGGGCAAGCCCCACCCAGCTGTTACCTGGTTGGTGGAAATGTTCCACCAATCCGAAGTGTCCTTCTCCAAGCCGGGCTTGCCAGGCAAAAGCAGCGAGCCCACCGCACAAGGAGGCAAGGAGAGGTACAAGGCCGTAACAAGATGACAATGCAGAGCTACAGCTGAGGACATAAAGGGCTATCTGTTCAAAATGATGGAGAGGAGGCTGTTTGGTTAGTTCAGTGATATGGTGGGAGAAACAGTCCCCTGTATCTTATCACTGAGGTAAATATAAAAATAAAATCTCCTTTTTAGGATCATTGAATCCAAAAGCTAGAAGGAACCTGAGGGTCACCTAGCCCAGCCCCTTACACAGATGCAGGATGTGCTGTTCCTAAACCATTTCAGGCAGATAGATACCCTCTTCTTGAAAACCTCCAGGGAAGGAAATTGCACAGCTTCCCCAGGCAGCCTCAGGGGGCTTCACTGGAATAAGCCATTTTATTTTTAATTCTATGGTCTCCAGCAACCTCTTCCAGTATCATGAGAATCAGAGAAATTAGAGTTGGAAGAGATCTCAGGAGATCAGCTAGTCATTGGTCCCCACTGAATGGGATCAAAGCCTCCCCTGATAACTGCTATGAAGTGCAATGAATTTTCCTGGGAACAGCCATGAAACCAGCCAGACAGGATGCTTTGTGCTTGCACGCAGATGAAGGACTAGGACACACTGGGCACATCTACACAAGATGCTTTACTTGAGATTAGAGCTAATTATTGTTGCGGACAAACTGAGTTATGCTAAAGCTTTTTAGCCATAGTTCAGGCCTTACCAGAACTAAGCAACAAAACTGAACAGAGCACCTTCTGTGGCACTGGGAGACGTGAGTGCTGCAATTGGGCACTAGGTGAGCAAGGAACAACAGTTTCCCTATAAGGAATGTGCCTGGCACTGTGCCAGGGGATTGGTGCACCATATAAGGAATGCTTGGCACAGAACCAGGGGACTGGACAATTTGGGATGAGAAAAGTTACGAAAGTGATGGACAAACAAAGGAACACCTGTGTTTTGTGTTGCCACCCTCAGGAGACAGGAGCAACCTTGGAATTCTTGTTTGAACAACGGAGAATCCAGAAGCTAACATCCCGCACACCCAGCAGAGGATCTGAGGCCAGTAAGACTGAAGGTCATTGTTGTAATGTCTGAAGAAACCACTTACCAGGTTGTATTACAAGGAGGAAACTTGTAATAAAGCCTAGGGATTGATATTAAAGTTCACTTGATACCACATCAGACAAGTTATTGTGTCAATCCTTGGAGGGCTCTGGCAAAAAAAATTCTAATAGTAACAATTACTATGTAGTAAGCATCACCATCTACAAATGCAGAGGCTTACCACACAGTAATTTGATCTAATCTTGAGTAAATTTGCTACCTGTAAATACAAGTAGCAAACGTACTCTAGATTACTTACTGTGCGGTAGTGCACGTGTATTTTACTCTAGAGTAAACTGCTCCCAGATTATTTGCATGTGTAGACACTCCCACTATGCCATGATGTGAGACCATCCTTTTTTTTTATTTTAGCCCTCTGCTAGCTAAAGCCTTTGTGAACTGGGGAGTTCACTAGGCTTCTGAAGCATGTGGGGAAAAGGCTGGGAACTCTGGAGAAACGAAACAAACACAAGCCTCTATTTTGCTATTAGTACCAGTCCTTATATGCTTTTTTTTCTGGTCAGCATGGGAAGGGGGTATCACTTTCCACTCAGGCCTCTTCTGTTTGATCTGAATCTGAATTTGGGACATGTACTCCTGCTCTCTAGTCAGTCTCCTCAGTGTCACTTCAGGGACACACCATCTCTCAGTGATGTCAGACTCAGTGTAACACTCCTGGTAGGTCCAAGGGGGTCTTTCAGCTAAAACAGGACTTCCCCTCCTCCCAGGCATGTCCTATTCCTACCTCAGCAACCAAATAGCAATGAGACATCATATAGTCCCTGGCTTCAGGCTTGGGCAGCCCAGAAAAACCATGGAGGAAGAAAGAATCTTTCCCCACTAAAAAGAATAAGGGAATATTTGGGGGTGGGATGCAATCATGAGGCAGTAGCCCTTTAAGAAGAACCAGCTTGTAATCTGAGAATTGCCTGTTTTAACCCAGCCAGATTTGTGACTGGTGGGAAAGTCAGACGGTCCCTCCCTCAGCAGCAGTTTATTAAATATAGTAGTAGCGGAGCCCTCAATTGAAAACAGATAGGCTCTGTCTGAGGCTGTGCCTCCCTTGCCTTCTCCTCTTGGCGCGTGGGGAACACTGGCTGCTGGTCCACTCTAGGTCTACACCATGGGGTCCAGCACTCTTCCCCCAGCCCTCCTGCTGCCACTTCTCCAGCTTGGCTTCCAGATGTTGGCTCTACATGCAGACCCTGAGCCTGGAGGTAAGTCTCCCGCTTGTACTGTTGCAGCTTTCGGAAAGATGGCTGGGGAATACAAAGCTCAAGTCCCAGAGAGAGACACAGACAGAGCTGGGGTCAGTCAGTGGCCAGAGGAGAGGCAAGGTTATGAGTAAGATTATGAACAAGATTAGCCCTCAGACCTGCATAGTTCAGTGCTGAAACCCTGGCTGCGGGCTGGAGAAGGGATGAACTCAGATTTGTCTCAAAGCCCAGACAGGCCAAACACTGGGACAGCAGCTGCAGGGAGCAAATAAGGAGACTGGTTACAAGACCAGCTACTTATATCCTCCCTCCCAATACAGGCACAACAGCACTGGGAACGATGGTGGTAGTGATTTCAGACCAGCCAGAACTGGGCAAGAAATCAGAAGGAACAGTTTCTGAATGATAAGGTCTCAGCCCTGTGCTGCCTCTGGCTGGGATTAAACAGATGAGGTGCTGGTTTTAAACCAGGGATTTTGTTTATGTTGGAGACTGGGAAGTATTTTGGATGGGGAAGTAAAGGGGTCATGGCAGTCATAGTCTCTGAAGAAGCCAATCTTTAGCAAATAGGCTGTACTAGGTGCACTGGTGTTGAATGCATGCCAACCGCAAATTCTGCCATTGGAATCAATAGGTTTGGGCTCAGTCCTGTGGGGTCCTTGATTTTTGCCTCTACTAGCTGTCAGTGAGACATTGCTAGAATTCAGGTAGGGCAGGGATGTCACTGGGAGAGAAAAGATGCTTTGGAAGTGAATGCTCTTCCCGCTTTGCCGATAGCACCACACTACTAGGATGCAGCATCCATACATTGTCAGTATCTCACTAGAGAGGCCAGTATGGGAGCAGCACACCCAGCCCCCTGTCCATGTTTGGGCTTGGAGCTTGAAGGCTGACACTGCAGCCAGGTTTGCAGCCAGCTCCTGTCCAAAGTACAGCTCCTTGCTACCGCCAGTAACAGATGAGGGATGCAGTGTTTGTGCACTTGTGATTTACATCCAGGACTCAGCTTTGCCCATCCTGCAGTGATGGGATGCACGGAATCAGTTTTCTTTTGCATAGCTGTTCTGATTCAGTGGTGATAGACATCAGTACAGAAGTCTAGGTACATACATAGCTTGTATCTACATTGGAGATATTTTTAGGCAGGCTGCATATGTGGTGGGTAGGTGCACCTTTCAGTCTCTAGATAAATCAGAAACAAGGAGTCAGAGCTGGGGAGTATCTTCTGTCCCTCAGAGAAGGGTGTGCCTCTAGTTCAAGGCTGAGGTGCATAAATAGGAGGGGCAAAATGAAATGCTGCCACCGCATCCGATGTGATCTGGGCAGTAGGAGACAGCCAGCGGTGCAGAAGGCGAGGGATTGATTCAAGTCCCAGTGACTAGGGACTCTGGAGGGCTTGGAACAGCGACAGATACACAAGGAATGAACCAGTCTCTGTTCAGCCAGAAAGGGTTACTGTAGGGCACAGGATAGGCGGCAACACAGAGCACTGATTTATAGTTCTCTTCCCTTATGAAGTGGCCAGGCTTTACCACACACTGCTTGGCACAGCCGAGACTTGCTGGTGTTCCCTGCTTCATCATGCTGCTCAGTGATTCCACTACTTAAATTCCACCCTCCTTCTTGCTGTCTTGTCCCCCTCTGCCTGGACAGTCATAGATCCAGTAACAGACAGTTGCCAGTCTTAACCTCAGGGGGATGCCCTCATGCCAGCCTCACCCTTTTCTGGACTGGACCATTGGCATCAGACTAATGCTTCAGTATTGAACACCTCCAGCCCTTCCTCTCCTGACTCCACTGCTGTGTCCCACCCCTTCGTTCTCCATTCACAAGGGTGACCTATTAGGGGATGCTTCCCTTATCTTACTGTCTTAGGTGCTTGGGGACAGCCGTCATGGTCACATGGCGCTGTCTGTACTCCCTGACTGAATGGCTAAGCTTTTACACACAGGAGTTACCAAGAGCCCTTATTTCACAAAGGCAGATGGAGCAGGGGCTATTACTCAGTGGCTCATCCAGCTTTCACGAGGACATCTTTATCATGGGTGTCACTCTGGGCCCTGTGGACTTCAATATACTCCTGTGCTCTATGGTGTCAGGGTACCAGGCAGAATACAAGCAATAAAGAGTCCTAGCACATGATAGTAAGGTGGCAGGGTCAAGGCGTCTGTGTTCATCATGGAATAAGATAAACAAAGATTTTGCTGTAAGAAGCCTAAGTGCAAGACAGAGGCGGAGTCAGGGTGTTTGTAATAGAATGAGATAAACGGGGTAAATAATTTAAAAAGCAAACAAACACTTAGTCATTTCACCAATCACTACCTCCTCCACCCACCCCAAAGCCCTGTGGGTCTAGACTGTGACTGTATCAGTCTTACTTGACCAGGCACACGTTAGTAACCATTCTGAAAGCTCCACTCTCCGCAGGGCCCAGGACTGGCAGATGAATGCAGGAAGGGGTAGACAACAGATAAGGAACAGCCTTAAACAATTATGGGGATCCTGCAAGCTGAATGCTTCTTCCAGACACATGGCACAGAGTCTACTGCATTCCAAGCTGTATGAGCCCTGGTCAAAGCAAAGTTCAACCCCAAGCTGTCCCGCATCTGTAGGATTCTCTAGACTGATTATCTAGGCAATAATTATGAGGGCATTCACTGGGGGACATGGCAGGAGAGCATCCAAAGCACTGACTAGGGTCATGGAGCACCTCAGTAACAAAGGTGTCCCAGGGAATAGGATCCTAGACCAACGAAGACTGCTCTGCCATGCCTCCCAGCACAGCTTTGCAGTCCTTCTCATGGTGAGCAATGCTTTCCTCTGCCTTTCAGCAGCCCTGCTACAGCCTGGGTGAGACGTCCCATTCCCGGCCCCTCAGGCAGTTTGGCTGTATAATTTATTGTCTTCTCCTCTTTCCCATCTCAGAAGAGAGAGAGCATGGGCTGGAGCTGACCAGGAAGGCCAGCCAGATGAGGAGCCCCCTCTCACTGCTCCTCCAAATTCCTGCTTTCTGTCTCCCCACACTCACTCTCAGCATTTTTGCCTGAAGAAAGAGGCTTGCAACTGGCTGCAAGAGTAAAAATTTCCACTTTTAAAGAACGCTTTGTACCAACAAAGATAGCTTCACTTTTCGGGGAGCTGCACTGACTCTGCAATGGCTCTCCTGTAGCAAAGACAAGCTCCCAAGGCAGCAGTGAATCATGAGTTCTCAGCATGTATACCCAGGCTCTGGGATTTGCAAAACATTTTCTGAGCACTCAGAGTACTGAATTACACAAACTCATAGCACGCACTGAACCAATCTTGGCGCTTTCCTTCTTAAGGCTATCAGAAAATCAAGTGTTTTGCTGTTTGACCAGCACTTCCTTCTACTGGCATTCAGATGCTTTCCATGTCTCCTTCCTGATCTGTTCATTCAGCCTTCCTTAAAATTTGATCCAACCCTACAATGGCTTTGACTGCTAGTGCAAATCAGAACACTTTATCCTCCTCATTTGAGAGGACTTCATGTCTGTCTCTAAACTTGACTTTTTGACTTCCGCTTCTGCCTGTCTCCAAATATTCAGCTATCTTGTTTTCTGTATTGCTGGTAAGAAATTAACAAGTATGTTCTCATCACATCTTTTTAAAGAAATGAACTCTTTCCATTTTTTCCAGCATTTTTACTGGAGATTTTCAATTTTTAACAGAAAAAGGATACCTTCAGTTCTCAACTTTTGAAAACTGAATAATTTGGGAGTTTAGTTGAAAAATGAGAAAATTTTACAGAAAACATTTTAGTGTGGGGAAAAGCCGTTTTTATCTCTTATTTTCTTTAATAAAAATTTTCAACCAGCTTCAATCTTCTCCTTCCTAACTATTTTCTTCGGTTGAACCTCCTGGTTTCATACTCCAAAGGTAACCACTGATAAGCACTGTTTTTTGCTTGGTCCTGGATGGGTACTCAGAAAGGTTCCAACGTGGTTCAGAAAAGATTCTTACCCTCCCTGATTCTCTTCATGAAAAGCATGTGCTCCTCCGGTAATTCGGTCCTCTCCATAACTGTTCACTGCACACTGTCTTAGAATCATAGAAAATCAGGGTTGGAAGGGACTTCACAAGGTCATTGCGTCCAACCTCCTGCTCAGAGCAGGGCCATCCCCAACTATATTGTTCCACTGTTGAGCCAGACCTTAAAAACCTCCAAAGATGGAGATTACACCACCTCTCTAGCTAACCTGTTCAAGTGCTTCACCACCCTCCAGTAAGAAAGTTTTTCCTAATATCCAACCTAAACCTCCCTTGCTGCAACTTGAGATGGTTGCTCCTTGTTCTGTCATCTGCCACCACTGAGAACAGTCTAGCTCCATCTTCCTTTGAACCCCCCCCACCTTTCAGGTAGTTGAAGGCTGCTATTAAATTCCCTCTCAGTCTTCTTTTTTATAGTCTAAATAAGCCCAGTTCCCTCAGCCTCTCATCACAAGTCAGGTTCTCCAGCCCCTGAACCACTTTCGTTGCCCTCTACTGGACTGTCTCCAACTTGTTGACATCCTTTCTATAGTGGGGGGCCCAACACAGTACTCCAGATGTGGCCTCACTAGTGCAGAAAAGAACAGAATAATTATTTCCCTCGATCTGCTGGCAACGCTCCTACTAATGCACCCCAGTACGCTGTTAGCCTTCTTTGCAACAAGGGCACACTGCTGACTTATATCCATCTTATTGCCCACTGTAAGCCCCAGAGCTGTTGCTTAGCCAGTCAGTCCCCAGGGTGTAGCATTACATGGGAGTCTTCTGTCCAAAGTGCAGGACTTTGCACTTGTCCTTATTGAACCTCATGAGATTTCTTTTGGCCCAATCCTCCAATTTGTTTGTCTAGGTCACTCTGAATCGAAACCCTATCCTCCAGTGTATCTTCTGCACCCCTCAGCTTGGTGTCATCCACAAACTTGCTGAGGGTGCACTCCATCCCACCTTCCAGATCATTAAATGAAAATATTGAACAAAACTGGCACCAAGAC